AGTAGTAGTAGTAGTAGAAGAAGAAGAAGAAGAAGAAGAAGAAGAAGAAGAAGAAGAAGAAGAATCAAGCTGTACATCTTAGATTTTTGTGGAGAAAGAAAAGGGAATGCCTGGGTAGGAGGATGCATACTGTGAATGAATAATACTTCTATAATTGAAAAGAACTTCAGGTCACTTTTTATAGCTTATTGCTACAGATTAGTGTTTATAAAGTCAAAATTCTTTTCTAGTTAAAAAAATTCCTAAATCCAGAATTCCTAAATCCAGTTTTCCTTCAGCATTCTGAAGACTAGAAGGTAACTGCAAAAAAATAAAAGAAATTCTTGTCCGCCCTTCCTCACTCTTCCCCTTTATTGAAATGCTGCATTTTAGTAGTTGGGGTGGTTCTTCCAAATTAGAGTTGCATGCTTCCAAAACCTGGGAATAATGAACTACCTACGCTTTACCAGTGGTATTGATTTAGAGCCCTTTTCAGCTAGTCATACAAGCAGGGGAAAAGGACAGGAATTCTGAATCTATTCTTGCCTTCTTTATTCTTCCTTTTTTATGCCAAAGAATAGCAATTTGTTGTTTGAACATTCACTGGTACACTTTCTATATTTAAAAGGAGCATTAAACATTGAATCAGTCACACTTGACTAATGGCATTTTCTATTTTCTCTCTCCATCCACCCATAAACACACACACATACATGCATACACACAAGAGCATAGCCCTTTTCCTAGTTTTCTGCTCTATAGCTATGGATATATATAATATACATTTTACAGAAGTTATTCTACCTTAGATAGACTTAATTGTTAGCACTCTCACATAATGACGTCTGCTGGGATTTTAAAAAAAAAAATAAGTAGAGCCAGGTTTAATAATGCCCTGCAGGTACTACAGAGAGTAATTAATCCTAGCTGTTTTAAATAAGCGAGAAGCCATTTAAACTTGTCACTCAAATTATGAAGTAAGCTCTCATGTGGGTACATTATTCCTGCCGGATTTTAGATAACTCCAAATACTGTGCTGTCTCTTTGCATTTTATGGCCAGGGTCCAATGGTGTGCCTCTTTTAGATCCCCCACAACTGGTAATCCTCCCTGAAAGTCCCTCTGTCTCCTAAAAACTGCTTCAGAGAGCTGGGGAGGCCTCGACAGCACGTTCTTTCATGCCATGGAGGGCTACATAGGATGAAGAGAAGGGAGATCTGATTCCACTAGTTTTGGATACTGAAGTATACTATTATAGTATTAAAATATGTTGCATAGCCTTTTAAAGGTAAATCAGAGATGTATGTATTTATTGTGCACAGTTTTCAGCAATTTCATGCTAATAGTAGGAGCTGACTATGTTTACAAATCAGAGGTTACATTATCTGCAAGTGGAGTCTCAGTAAAGTTGAGGTGGAAGGGACTTTTTTCTCGATGATACAGGGAAACTAATTCAAGGGAGGTTTTAAGAGTGGCTTCAGTGAGATGTCATCTTATGGGACCACCTTCAACAAGTGAATGCAAGGAATGGTAAGCTGAGCCATGGTTTGGGGAATGTAGCAGAGGTTCAATTTAGGACACCTTAGCCTTTGAGCAATAAATAGATTTGCACTATTGTCCGTTCCCCTCCAAACATACCTAAGTCACCTCGAGGGTTGCAAACCTCCAAGTGGAAGGAAGGAAGTTGGGAAAACAGAGCAACACAGGACATAACTCTGTTTCCTAGACAACTCTGATGGTTTTCAGATGAGCCACCATTGCTTCCCACATTGCTGAAGTGAGTGCCAGTCAAGCTCTGTTAGCATTTCCCTGTTCCAGATAGAGCAGGGGATGGGGAGAGGAAAGTAAGAGTAGAACCTTATGCCCCCTTTCAGATTCCTCTTGAGTAGGAAAGTAAGAGTAGAACCTTATGCCCCCCTTTCAGATTCCTCTTGAGTGGCCACTTTTCTCTCTCTCTCTCTTTCTCCTCTGTAATCCCTTTCTCTCCTCCCATTAACCTCTCTCTCTCTCTCTCTCTCTCCTCTGTAATCCCTTTCTCTCCTGCCGTCGATCAGACTGTGTCCCCTGACTTGAGGTAAAAGGGAGGCACAGGCTGACACTGGAAAAGGACATCTCCAACACTCGCCTGGCTGCTTCCTTCCCAGCAAAGTTCAAGGAAAAGCTATAATGCCTATAAAAGGGGCTAGGTGTGATCAACCTTAGAGCCAGGAATTCAGGAAATGGATGGCTCTGGAATCTTGCATTGGTGGGAGTGCTGTGGCTTTTTGCTCCTGCATCTTCATCTTTGGTGGGAGAGTTCCATCCTCCTCCTCTTCTGGCATTCTTGTGGGTGGAAGCATAGCTGCAGTGCTGCCTTTTTCTGCTCCCACTGCAGTGTACTTTCCTTTCTCCGATGGCAAGTGCTATTTCTTCCTCCTCTCCCACTTCTAGACTGGCAAGGAGAGACAGCCATCATTGTGTTTTCTTCACCCACCTTTTTTGGGTGGTAGGGGCACTGCTGGCGTCATGTAATGAGGCAGCATTTCACTTCCTACCTCAAGAAGCAATTGGCCTGTAGTTGCCCCTGCAAATAGCTTTCTCTGTTGAAAGTACTCAGGTCTCATAAAAAATGTTAGGGTTTGTTTTATGTTTTTTTTTAAAAAAAGAAGAAAATACAAATAAATAGCAATACCTGTAGGTAACTGAAAAGCAACTGAGAAGGTTATGCTTTTTAAAAGCTGTTTTCCAGAGTGAAAGAAAAAAAATCCCGTAGGATCATTTAAGTGCTTGGATTTCTATACTTGTCAAGGACGAGATAAAATGTTTGCATTCTCATCTTATGACCTTCCAGTTGTGTTGGACTCTATCTGCCACATCCCTCACCATTAGTGAAGCTTACAGGAGTTGTAGTCTAGCAGTATCTGGAGAAACACATGTTGCCTAACCCCTGCTCAAAAATACCCCTTAGTTTTGTGTAGAGGAAAATTCAGATATTCTCAAAACTAGAGGAAGACCTCAAACTCCTGCCTGTAATTACTGTTATCTATCATGTTTCTTAGTTTCTTCCAATGAGAAAAAAAATTAACAAAAGAACAACAGCAATCACTGGATCAGCAATCAGTAGAAGAGGGCCACCACCATCTCACAGTGTACCTCTAGGTACAGAAATGCATTTTGGATTTGAGTGTTGTGTTTAGAGCAAGAATGAGCATCTGTGGCCTTCCAGATGTTCTTAGGTTGTCAGTCATAACCACCATAGCCCGAGGTGAGGGACTACGGGAGTTGTATTCCAAAAGCATCTGGACAGCAACTGTTGTCCACCCCCTACTCTACATTATATCTGGCAATTATTATTCTCTAATTAGAGGGACATGGTGGTGCTGTGGGTTAAACTGGAGAAGCCTCTATGCTACAGGGTCAGAAGACCAGCAATCGTAAGATCAAATCCATGCAACGGAGTGAGCCCC